AAAATGATATCTCAAGGCTGACTTATCAGATTCATCACCAATGTCAGCCAAGGGCTTTCTGAAAATTCTTACACAGATCTCAGATAGGCAGAATGTCTTACAGACATTCCACCTGTGGTGGCTTTGGCTTGTTTCTAAAATGTGTTCACATCTTAATGTACTCTGAAATTTCTTACCACAAAATACATCACTATTGAAAATTCATATCTTCTTGGTTAGCATACAGGGGCATAACACAGCAGAAATAGCTGTAAAGACTAATTTAAAAATAAAAGGTATTATGACTTAAGAAAACTCAGAACCATTTAAAACATTTTGGTACACAGCACATTTATTTTATTTACTCCTTAGTTTCTTATGCCAGCTATTTACCAGCAAATAGTTTGCAAATTAAAGAGTTGAGTGCTTTAGATTTTAGAGGGAAATAATATAATTGTTATTATATCTGGATTTACAACTGTAAATGTTACAGCATCTATTTAGAATCTGTAAACATTATATATTTCAAATCCCATCATTTGGAATCAATTATCGATACTATCAACATATTTGATCCACTCAATATTAAAATACTGATATTTAAAAAGGGGAGTCATCAATTTTGGCACATACAAAGTAGAAACTATTTTTTAAGCATAATTATAGTTCAGAACTTCTAATATGAACTGAATCAACAATTAACTCCATATTTTTATTCAACACTCAAACTGTGAAAACACTCTTCCTCCTATTATACATGTTGGATTTTTCTATACTAAACACTCATTCTGGAAAATCAAGTTCTCCTGGAATAAGTAAAAGTATAGGTTTCATATTCTTCATATCTATAAATTTATTCTAAAGGAATTCCCAGTCTAGTAGAGCTTAAGGCCAATCATTTAATTTAGAAATGCCAAGTTTCACACTATGATCTTGAGTATAGAAACACTGCCCTTACATTTAAAGTTATGTGTTTTATAGCCCATCACAGAATAATTTCAGTTAAACTTCAGTTGTCATACAATGATTCAAAGGATAATTGCATAGCTTTTATACTTTTTTTTACTAATTAAATGCAAATCCATATTAATATTAGCATTGGCAGAGTAAGTAGATGAAACTTGAACTTGACAAAAAATATTAAAATTTTTGAGAAGCTTTGAGGTTGAAGGCATATGGTTGAAATTATTGGCAAAAAATTGGGTTTTGAAACTACAGTTATCTATAGATTTCAATTATCCATAGTACCTTTTCTCCATTACCCCAAGAAAAATTATAGTTGAACATATTAACTTGTAATATTATCTTCAGCCAGAAGTTCAAGTTGGAGCTTATCTATTTTTTGTGAATTTTTAAAAAGTAGATCTTATGTGATGAATTTCTGGCTTTAATACTTGACAATGTTATCTGTGTCTTTTCCTCCCTCTTCTCCCCAAAATTTTACTGTTCTCTTTCTTCCTATTTTCAACTCTTTACTTAAAGAGATCTAAAAACTCACTCTCACCAACCTTCAAATAAACAACAGAAGAAAAGCATAACATTTAATTTTGAATATTAACTCTTTCTACCTCATTCATGAGTTCTTTACCCAATGTTGGTGTTCATTATAGAACCAGAGGCTCAGTGCATGAAATTAGTGCATGGGGGGTGGTCCTGTCTCTCAGCCAAGCCTAAACCCTCTCCAATCTGGGAAATCCCTCTCACAATCCAGGACTGCTGGCTCCCAACCACTCACCTGCCTGCCTGATTGCCCTTAACCACTTTTGCCTGCGAGCCTGATCACCCCCCTAACCACTCCCCTGCCAGCCTGATTGATGCCTAACTGCTGCTGGCCTGGTCACCCCTAACTGCCCTCTCTTGCCAACCTGGTCCCCCCTAACTGCTCTCCCCTGCTGGCCTGGTCACCCCCAACTGCCCTCCCCTGCAGGCCTGCCCACCCCTTTACCCAACTAACCTCCCCTGCAGGCCAGGTTGCTCCCAACTGCCCTCCCCTGTTAGCCAGGTTGCTCCTAACTGCCCTCCCCTGCCAGCATGGTCACCCCTAACTGCTCTCTTCTGCTGGCCTGGTCAACCCTAACGGGTCTCCCTTGCTGTCCCAGTTGCCCAAAACTACCCTTCCCTGCTGGCCATCTTGTTGTGGCCATCTTGTGTCCACATGGTGGCAGGCATCTTTGACCACGTGGGGGCAGCCACCTTGTGTGTTGGAATGATGGTCAATTTGCATATTACCTCTTTATTAGATAGGATTTACAAAACTCTGTGTTTGACCCTTTGACAATGAAGGGTCATCTTAGAATCTTGCTCATTTGTATCAAGAAAAATGACACTTTTAATCAGTCTGGGCAAATCAGAAGAATGGATATTTAATAGATATTAATAAAGTATATTTGCTTCTGTACAACATCATTAACAGTTACCATTCTGATAACAGGTAACCTTTTATGGATCCTATAAAGTTCACAATTTATTTAATACCTAATGATACCACTAGGTATCTAGTTTTTCTGTTTTCACTCATTACTCACATATCCCTTTCTTATACATCAGGATACAAACCACAAACTTGTATTTTTAAGTTCCAGAAGCTGAAACTAGCAGCTGAAATATTAAACCTGACTTCCTTTGCTTGTGACACATGCAGGTGGTTCCGCATCAGTGGAATGATAAACAATTAAATCAGCACATTTATACAAGTGCAGAGGCTGTGGTGACTTGCCAATGTTAAATGAAACAGTACAGATTTGCCTCAGGACGATTTTAAACCAGAGATTAAGAAATACAATCTAAGTCAACTGGGGAGAAAATTGTTTACTCTGTCAGAAAAAAGTACAATGTCACCTTGAATGCTCTTATGAAGTTATTTCAGCACCAAAGGCATTTAAAAAAAATCCTCACCCCAGTATATGTTTATTGATTTGAGAGAGAGAGAGAGAGAGAGAGAGAGAGAGAGAGAGCGCACCATCAGTTGCCTCCTGGATGCATCCTGACTGGGAATGAAACCCACAACCTAGATATGTGATTTGATCGAAAATCAAACTGGCAACCTTTTTGGTGTGTGGGATGACACTCCAATCAACTGAGTCACCAGACTTGGGCAAAGGCATTCTTAATAAATCTATAACCCTTAGTATATGGGGTAGGTTTCTGTAAACGTTAGAAATATACTAATGCTGGGTTATTAATATCATCAATATCACAAACAGTAATTGAACAGCTGAAATGGATGAACAATCTCCAAAGCCGTAGCTCTCCACCATGGTTTCATCTAATGAGCAACCTCAACCTCTCAGGGGCCATCACATAACATCAACACTCCATCCTGTGCCATCTTCAGAGATTCTGAGTCAGTGCATCTGAGATGGGACTAGACATTTGTAGTTTTTTTTTTTTAAAGATTCTCAGGTGATTTAATGTTAAGCGACAGTGGACAATTCTTAAGTCCTAGAATTTCATGTTCCCTTTAAAGTACAATAACAATGCAGTAGAAGGACATGTAAGGGCTGTGGATTCTCAAGTACTCTAAACTTTTTTTTTGTGGGGAGTGGGAGTGAGAGAGGGCAGGGGGAGAATGGGGTCCACAGGGAGAAGACAAAGGGCAAGAAAGATCTTACCAAGAAAGAGATGCAAAATATTTCAGAATTCCAAGCACCTGCCGCTAGCTGACATTTCTTAAACAAGTACTAGGTGCCAGGTCCTCTTACTGGCACCACTAAGGATTCCTGAAAGTATGTGCTGTCACTGCTGTCATATATACATTGCCAACGAGAAGCCAGAAGCTCGGGAAGGTTCAATGACTTGCTGAAAAGTCACAAAACTTGCAAGTGGTAGGGTTAGGATGCAAATGCAGATGCCCTGCCTCAAACTTAAAATAATTTCTGTGTGAAAAGTAGTGAGTTTAGTTGACTTTTAAATTTCAATATTGAAAAAAAAAATAGGTGCATGAGGGTCTGCTCTTTGAATAGCTATAGTGATTAAGATATTTAACAATAGTCATATTTTATCATTTCTTTGTCAAATATACTTAAAAATTTTTTCTTGGGTCTTCAAAACATTATGAATATTCTACTTTCCTTTAAGTTTACCTAATAAAAATGAAAAGACTGCGACACCTTACAGAAAAGCAGTTTTTCCTTTGAGTTGAATCCAGTCTGAGGCCGGGGGAGATTCAGTGTGAGTTATAGTTATATGCATACGGAACAGCTCCACCAGTGAGGGCCACCAGTGACTCTCCTGTGCCACCTAAAGTATACATTGGAAGTGTGTAAGAGTATCGCCCAAGTCAGCAGCAGACTCGGGTAGGAGTTAACTAACCAGTTGCTTCAGTCCAAATGATCTACTAGGTTGTTTTCCAACAGAAACTATCTTCTCCCTTCATTTTACTTTCCTGAATCTCCCTATTACATATACTATCCCAGACTTCTTTGCTTCTACCTGGGGATGTTTACATCCTATGAACCACCCAGGATGCCAAGTACATGGTAGGTCCTCGTAAAAAAATTGTAAAATAGACATCGAATGAGTAGAATTGAAGTCCACAGTGAGTTTTGACCATTGCTTTACCAGGAGCCTCTCTTCCAACACTGAGTCCTGGGCTAAATGAATATTCATCAGAGAGGCATTGGCTCTGCCACTGGAGGCAAGAGGTCATAATTCTCACCTCCTCGCCATTGCTAACTAGCCACAGGCTATGACCAATTATTTACTTCCCCTGACTTTGGTTACTCACTGTTTATAGTGGGGTTAATAATACCTTACTTGCCTAGAATCACAAAGCTCATCTGAATAATTTTATAAGGCTTTTTCTAGCTTCAAACTATGGCAGACCTTTGACTAAATCGTACCTTTCTTAATCCCATACAAACAGCGCAGCTTGGAAAAAACATAGAACTTCATATGCAGGTGATGTGAAAAAGATACATGAAAATGGAATGACAATAATCACCCGATTTAAGTGAATTAAAAATGTTGCATTGCTAATCTTTCTAATTATTAATACAGTTATCTAATGCTCTGTTTCTTACCTTTTGACTTCCTGTCGTGGTATGACCGGCCTCGATGATGAGGGGTGTCCAAATACAGATTCTCAAGATCTTCTTGCCAGGATTCAGGACTGAAGTGCTTGAGCAGATCTTCCACTGTATCAAATTGTGCAACTGTTTTATCCAGAGCATCCGCAGTGAGGGCGGTGTCAGTGACTGATGGTGCACGATAAGATACCCCCTAAGAGTGACATACAGCTCAGTGTACTCAGAAAAGGCCCATTGCTATGAAATACAATAGTCATACAACTACGTGGAAGGAAGATAGACAAGACCGGGATTATAAGCCATCCTGTGTGTAAATATCATGCTACAGTACTATTTCTAAATAAGCACAAATAATTGGTAAGTGATAACCATTCACTTTTTTGCAAATCCAAACCAGGCAGATTATAAAACTTCCACATCATCTGAATGTTAATCATTAAAAAAGATATGGGCTAGGTAGAAATATTAAAATTAAGTAATCCAGTTTCATGGTTCAATGTCCCACATCCATATCAACAACTAATGGTGAGCAATTAAATTTTGAACTCCTTTCATGCAAGTTTTGCATATCTGTCCCATTCTCCCAGGGCTAGATATTGTGTCCCATCTTTTCGGGGCACCTAGCATTGCAGGTGTTGTGTGAGCAGAGTTTGAATCTACTCTGGAGACATCTTGATAAAATTTGGCACTGTAATCGGCTTATTTACTGTCAATAAGGATAATTAGTCAGGAAGCTGGCTCTCTTGACTTCAGAGTGAAAGATTCATGTGGGAGGCAAATGTATTTTTTTAAGTGCTGCGGCTTGCTAGTGATTCTAGGTGCCATGAAAATATTGTCAGGAATACTTTTTTAAATGGTAATGCACATCATTGAGAGTCTGGAAGGGATTGTGTATTTTTCTCTGAAACATATCTCCACATAAGTTTCCACGCACTTACTTCACTAACCCCTCACTAATCTAGAGGTAAATGAGCCATGATTCAAACATCTCTGTAAAAATTCATGACCCATTGACAAGGAACTAGAGAGTGTGGTCTTAAATGGTTTCTAAATGTCTTTAAAGAAACAGCCAAACAAATAAGATCTCCCAAGGGCAAACATCTCCTACGACTGCAAGAAAATGGAAATTAATGAAAACTTGTGTTCCTGAAACTTAACTTTAGTACCCTATTGAGAATTAATATGCACCATAGAGTCAGAGACAGTAAAGCCCACATTTATATTCTCACTCTCAGGTAATGTTTTCTCTTTTTAACCAAGCAAAGGCCAAAGGTCTGTAAGCGATTCAGTGATCACTTGCTCTGACAGGAATAGTTGCTCTTTAGCGAAACTAAGGGTATGAAAGCATTAACCTACCACTGGTGCATATGAGCAGTTTTCAAATATGCCCTGTAGTGTAGGAGAAAGTGAGTGTTAGTTCTTGGGTGAGAAACATGAGATAGATGGATGAAAGTGTCAGGCTAGCTCCTTACACTAGGTGTACGTGTGTGTGTGTGTATGTGTGTGTGTCTAAGCTGACATGTGTGTGTGTGTGTGTGTGTATGTGTGTGTGTGTGTGTGTCTAAGCTGAACCCTGACTGAAGTACCTAATTTTTGCCTTTCACATTCCTCTTGGCATCAATACTAGAGGTAGATGATACTTTGATTCAGTCCCAAAAATTCCAAATTCCCATTCAAATTGTATTGTCTGAAGAATCTACTGTCTACCTGATTCATAGTCACCGGATGATTTACAATGAGTCTTATAACACAATAATATGGGTCTAAACCAGAAAACCAAAATGAACTGGCCAGTGTTAGGTGCAATTAAAATGCTTCCTGGGCTTTTAAAGTAAAAGCAGGGATAGCCATGGATCCATTTCCACTCAAACAAAAGCTTCTTACAATGACTCTCAAAGGGAAACTCCTGTACGTTGCTCCTGGAGTTGCTCTTGACTGTGCCTGGGAAGTGGCATGTACCCAGATAACTCATCAAGAAAAAGCTAAGGGGATGGGGGGTTTCCCTCAGTCTCAGGAGGAGAAGGGAGTAAATAATTTCTTTTAATATTAGTCTGAAGAGCAAACCCAACCCACAGATAAAATATGACAAAGTGCTTATGTGTGAGCTTTAGTGCCTTTTTCAAGTGTTACCCAGGACAATGGACAGAAACATGGAAGATGGTAAAGAAAATGTGTATGGCCAAAACCGGGTTGGCTCAGTGGATAGAGCATCAGCCTGCGGACTGAAAGGTCCCAGGTTTGATTCCGGTCAGGGGCATGTACCTTGGTTGTGGGCACATCCCCAGTAGGGGATGTGCAGAAGGCAGATGGTCGATGTTTCTCTCTCATAGATGTTTCTAGCTCTCTTTCCCTCTCCCTTCCTCTCTGTAAAAAAATCAATAAAATATATTCTTCAAAAATGTTTATGAATGACATGACCTAAAAAACCCATGAGAACATTTTTGGTTTTAGGTAATTATTTAAAACCTATTTTTGAGAGCAATAACTATTTGGGTGTGCCTCCTTCAATTGCACATTTTGATCTCATTCAGCTTTTGTTATATGTTTACAAAAACACATTCTAAACCTAACTGAATTAACTTAAAAGGATAACTTGTAAAAAAAAAAAATGCTCTGAGGATTGTTAATTAGTTTTGCTAACCACTCTCACCAAAAACAAAGTATGGTTTGTACAGCAGTTACTGGTAGGTTCAGAGACCCTGTCTGTAGTGCAGAGGTTCTTGAAAGCCAGAATGCTGGTGGAAAAAGCCATGGCTATTTAATCTTCCCAGAAGACTAATCAGAACCTGGATTTGGAGCCAATCTGAAGACTTCTTGGTCGGTGTGGACTCAGGGCTGAGATTTCACAGATATTCCAAATAGACGGCCTGATCTCTCTCATTTAGAGAACTGGCATTATCTTGAGTTAGTACTGGGTCCTTTAAGCTTGCAACTTCTGCACTTCGGGCAGGACTGGGCAGACAGCCCTTGGAGTTGTTATGTAAGAAGCTCGCGAAGCTGGAGGATGTCTTGACAGAATAGCATGCCAGGTCTTGGTTTCAGAGCCGCCTCTGGAATCTACTTTGAACTGTCAGTCTTAGGCTGCTAACTGTCCAAGCCTCCTGCTTAGCTCCAGCTCTGCAGTCTTACCTGCCTTATTTTCATCATCACCTGCCTGACAGTGATTCTACTTAGCTGTGTTCAGAGTAGGCATTTTGGACTGTCAAAGCCACACAAATAAAACACACTCTCAGAGACCTCACTATCTCCGCTGCGCTGTTGTTGTCCAGCAGGCATGCCTGGCGAATCAAATCCTCACAGAATCCAGAGCTGAGGGAATCCTGCCTTCTGAGGCAATTTTTTAAAATCCCCCAAAGAGCAAAAACTAGCATATCACTTTGAAGGAGTTGGGGATCAACTCCAGTGACTTAGCCACACCCACTTTATTTATTTATTTATTTATTTATTTATTTATTTATTTATTTATTTATTTTAAATTAATCTTTAATGTTCTGATTATTACAAATGTTCCTCTTTTTTTTTTCTCTCCATTGCTCCTCTCCACCAGGTTCCCACCCCACCCTCTGCCCTTTCCCCACCCCCGATTGTCCTCATCCATAGGTGCACAGTTTTTGTTCAATCTCTTCCCGCACCCACCACACACTTTAGAACCGAGACTAGCTTTCTCCATGCTTCTGACCTTTCAGCGAGCAGCTGTATTTGTTAGCTTGTATTTTATTGCCACATCAGTCCTACCCATAGACTTGGTGAAAACAAGGTCTGTTCTTTCTGTGCAAAGTAGATAAGAAGACAGAATACCGAGAAATGACTAAATTTGGAGAACAAAAATTGGGTCATGAGCCATTTTACAGTTTCAGTATGAGTGATGTTTTATTTCCAAGACACATAGAACACATGCCTGATTTGCACTTAAGTTATCTCACTGTAAACATTGGAATTTTTTCATGTCTGAAAAGATCCTAGACAATGCAAAGGTTAAGAGCCTCCCCAGAATATTAAAAACAAAACAAAACAAAAAACAACAACAACAACAACAACAAAAACTATTTAAAAATTCCCCACTTGAGTGTGAGCCGTGGACCAGTTTGTTATGTTTGATGTATCTGCACAGTCCTTTGGTTGGAACATTCTGCTTTCAAACTGATAAATACTTAAGCCATTGCCTATTCCGTGCTCCCATAATGAGAACTGGCATTTCCTGAAAACTGTCTGAGAGAGGGGAAAGGGCATCTGGCAGCGCCACTGTAACCTACATGAAAGAGAACACACCATGCTTGAGATCTGGCATGTGGTCAAGGCATAGGCCCTTAATACCACCGCTGACGTCGCTCTGGGTTGACCTTAGTTACTCCTTAATTTTTTCCCCCACACTGGCAACAGAAAAATCAATTACTTACTGAGATAGAGCTTGTGACGGACTCCCAGTTGGTCTCTGAGGCTGCTGCGGGTTGGAGATCTTCCTAGAAGGCAAAGAAACATCGTGTGAGTCAGTCATTCCTCCATTCAATTCATTACATGCACCGTTTCAACATCTCAGCCATCGGAATCTTCTCCCAGCTCAGTGAAACAGGAACAGGGGTTGCATCCCCTCTGAACAGGTCACCATTTGTCGTGAGCACCACTCCTCAAGACATGAACAACTGCATTCACATTTACTTACAGGCAGTGGTGAACTAGAAATGTGCTGACAGGAATTCAGATTTTAACTCAGTTATCTCCTGGCTAAGACCCCAGATAGTCTACTTAACCTCTCCAATCCTTCTCTTCCTCACCTGTAAAAGGTGAGGTCCTTAAATCACAGGGTTGTTTTGAGAATTGACTCCATTGATTATTGTGTAGTTATAACTAATACTTAATAAAGCACTCACAGAGCAATACTAATTATCATCAGTATTAATATTTATTTGGTTCTATCATATTCAATCTAAATGAGGAGCTAGTCTGTAATATCAGTGATCTTTTCAAAGATAAATGAACTGTTTCTATCAATTCCTAACTCTATCAAGAAATTACAGGAGGAATAGAGTGGGGAGAAAATAACTGTGGGAGTAACAAAGTAGTAACTCCTCAAGGAAAGAAGGTAAGAGCAAACTTGAGAAAATAATTTATCTCAAGAAACCATAAAAGATATGTGATAGCCATGGACCTAAGAAAAAGAAACTTATCTTCTAAGGCAAACTTCTCTCTATGTTGTCTGTGACTTCATTTTAATTGCTCTAGCATTAGCAAGTTAAACAAACAAACACAATGGGAAGGAAAGCTGATTCTACCATTTTTACATATTACACATGATTTCTTGATCTTGCCAACGTAAGTCACCTTGGTTCATTTTCTCCAGCCTGACCAGGGAGTAGAAGGTATTTTAAGAAATTCCTGAGAACAATTCAGCCACTCAAATATGTCAATTTATTTGCTCAACTAAACTAACTGAATGAGAGCTAAGTATCAGGATTAAATTTCATTAACATTTTGTGGAGCTGAAGTAAAGTTGTTAATTGCTCATGATGAGACTGGTTTATGTATAAATGTCTGTGATGAAGAAAATTTTTGTTGTTTACCAAGAGGGCACTGAGGCAAATGTGGGGTTGAAGGAATGCACATCTATTGAAAACTGGCTAGCGGTTATTATTCTAATCTCAGTTGAATGGAAGATGAGAAAGAAAGAGAAAATGAGATCTTTGTACTCTGCAAGACAGATTGTACATGAAAAGGACACTGATTCCCACAGTAGAAGAACGTGTGCAAACAAATGAAGTTCAGAATTTATTAGTTTTCTTAAGCAGGTGAGTAGGTGAACCTGGGTAAGAGAGCTAATGACTTCTACATATCTTGAAGAGCCTGTAGATAGGAAGACATATGCTGGATAAGACAGACATGAGCAATCCTCAGATAATAGAATTTTGATTTTCATTCATTGATTCAATATTGGTTAGTCACCTACTATGTGATGCATTCTAAGCTAGGGTAGAATCACAAAGAAGCAAGAAACTATCCCAATCTTCAAGGAGTTAAAAATGCAAGCACAGGGTCCCTTGAAACCAGACTAATCAGAATAACAATGGAAAATAATAGAAAATTCCACCTCAAAAGAAAGTAGGCATAGAAGGTGACATTTGAGCTGAGTTTTGAGCTCAGATAAGTAGATAAGTAGATAGCTACTTGCAAGAAAGATGTGGTACAAAACTCAGTAAAAAAGAGAGCAATATATAGACAATATATAGAAGATATATATAAAAAGAAGCAAGTTACTGAGGAAAGTAAATGAATCATGTTGGACACAGTGTATTTGAGGTGCCTATGCAATGTCCAGGTAGAGATGTTTATATGAGAATGGACCTCATGAAAGGCTTACACTTGAGATGTGGATTTAGTAATTATAATCACAATAATGGCAATTAAAGCATGTGTAAAAGTCAGAGAGGGACAGTCATAAAAATCTTGCAACTGGAAAGAATTTTGAAATTCTCTAGTCTGGTCTCTTCATTTTAATGCTTAGAAAATGAATTCTCAGAGAGCTCAATGGTGTGTTCTGTGTCATGTAGCTATTTCCTGTAGGGCGAGGGCCATCAGAGCTCATTTCTGAGTACACAACTGTGTGGTCATGTTTCACATCATGGCAGCTGGCTTGGATGAAACAGTGTCTAAAAGAGGAGTTAACAAAAAAGGAGGAAAGACATAAAGCAGGGTACTGGTGGGAGGTTCTACCATGATATCCTTCAAAGTATTCTTAGTTATTTAGATATAATGTGTTTATTTACTAAATCCTGTGACTTCAGTTTGCTTCATTTTCTTGCATAGACACAAGAAAAAAATATTCTGTCAAACATTTTAAATATAAAGGTCCTTTCCTGTACATGGGCCTTGATAAATGTTACACAAAGAGTTTTCAGTTTCTTCTCTATATCGACTATAGGATTCCAGTCAGAAACTTTAATAGAAAAAATTGATAGAGAATTTCATTAAGATATCTTCTCTTGGCAAAAGGATTAGTGAACATTTGAAAGAAACCAAGATTTTTATGTTATTTGTGTTATTTTAAAATGTCATTATTTATAGTGACATTTTAAATGAACTTAGGAAAGCGAACACTATCTCTTTTAAGAATAAAACATTGAACTTCCAAATGTGAGCCGTGTTGTCATAGGAAGGAACATAGCAACTTTACCTTCTGAATCTACTCTTAATATGATCATTTCTCATCTCTTCCACAACAACCTTCCAACGCCAACATACCAGCAATTCTCCCAATTGCCTGCTAACTTTCTCCATATTTCTACTCTTTCCCTAGATCCTACATTCTACATGACAGCTAGAATTATCTCTCCCTCCTGCTTTACTGAGAAATAATTGACATGTAACATTGTCAATGAGTTTAGGGTATATACCATGATAATTTGATATATGTATGTACTGCTAATGATTAATTACCAAAGAAGTTAATATATATATCACTTCACATAACTACAATTGTGTGTGTGTGTGTGTGTGGAGAACATTTAAGATCTACTCTCTTAGCAATTTTCAAGTAAATAATACAGCATTGTTAACTATAGTACCTTAGATTTCCAGAATATATTCATTTTATAATTCTTTGTTTATACCCTTTAACCAACAAACATCTCCCATTTTTTTCCATTCCCTAACTCCTGGCAACCATAAGCTTGGCTTTTTTTGTTTTGTTTTGTGTTTTTTGTTTTGTTTTGTTTGTTTTAGAGTCCACATTTCCACATATGTCTGACTTACTTCACTTAGTATAATGCCCTCAGGGTCCATCCATGTCCATGCCACTTCAAATGGCAGGATTTCCTTCTTTCACTTGTCTGAGTGATAGTCCATTGTGTATATTATACGGTATCTAATATATGTCACACTTTCTTTATTCATTCATATAAACATGGGGGTGCATATACCTCTTAGAAGTAATTATTTTATTTCTTTTGGAGATAGATCCAGGAGCGGGATTGCTGATCATTTGTTTAGCTCTATTTTTACTTTTTGGAGGAACCTCTATGCTCTAGTTTCTCTGGTTTCTCATGGACTTTCAGGGATGACATTCAACTCCTACCCCTCACTGCAGGGAAGCATAGTTAGAGTCTGTTCTGATAGGTTAGTGCATATGTCACACTATTTGTTACATATATATATATATATATATATATATATATATATATATATATAAAATAGAGGAATATGCAAATGAACTTAGGAGTCACATCATGACAGGGGCTGCATCCCCTCTGAACAGGTCACCTCATGACAGTTCACATGGGTGGGCAAGGCTGCAGGGTCTAGTGCAATTTTGCCCTGCCCAAGCAGACTCTCCCATGGCCCCGCAGTCAAATCCCAACGTCGACCTGAGGTTTACTAAACTTTACTGGAGCTGCTCCCCACACCCCTACCCGCTCTCTGCCTGCAGCAGGGAACTCCAGCAGCCTTCTGACAGATGGGTGGCTGAGGAGAACCAAGTGGAACAGGGGTTGCAGGGAGCCATGAAGGGGCTGGGCGGCCGGAGCCAAGTTCCGGTGGGTCTGAGGAGAGGGCCTGACAAGAGCCCGGACTGCAAAGAAGGAAGAGGAAGCAGCCACAGGGATCTCTTCCAATCCCCCTGCACAAACACCCTTCCCCAGCCCCTGCACCCCAGGTGGACAGGGAGGTTGACTGGATGGGGAAAGACCTAGCCTCGGGGTAGCTGCAGCCTACACTTCTGACTCCCCATCTCTTCCTCTAACATTCCAGCTCCCCCCCTCCTCCTCCAGGGGTGCCCACAACAATACCACGCTGGCTATGACCCATCAGCGCCCCCGAGGCACCCAAAGCCTGCGGCCCACCGCTGCCAGGCCCCATCCACTGAGGACAGGCATGCCTCTCCTCCCTACAACTCCAGAATCAGTGGAGGCAGACCTGAGTGGGCCCCCAGGGTCAGACCCATCTTCCTTCCCACAGCAGCAGCACTGTCTCCGCAGCAGAAGCGCACTGAACCTTGCTGGGGGCGCAGCTAAACCCACCCTCCTAGCCGGCCTGGCCCCCGCCCTGGCCCGCCTACCCTCCCCGCTCCAGGAGATTGGAGCCCCGCCCTGAGCAACAAACAGCTGTGAAACGGCCACATACAAAGAATGGCACTAAGTGGGGAGGCTTGATAGCTACTTTCCCTTTGGCCTCGCTGCCCCCCTAATGCTCCTCTAGTGTCCCCCCTCCCACCAGCACCTCCAGGGACGACCACTGCTATAGGGCTGCTGGCCAGAGCCTGCCCCTCTGAGGCCTGCAAAACCCTCTGCAAAACTTCCATAGCTACAGTCACAGGAAACAATCATGTCCTCCTCCCCTGATCAGCACCTGCTACCTGCAAGAGTACCCGTGGGCTTAAAAATAACAATCCCTTCCCCTTTGGACATCACTTACTTGATGAGACATTTCTAGGTTTATTAGCTCAGAACCTCCTCATGACAACCCTGTGAGGTCA